ATCCAATTCCTGTGCACGATGGCGGATAGACTGATTCGGGTCTTCCTCTACGCTACGCTCTACAGCAGCAATGACTTCTTCTGTACGCACTGTACGACATCTCTGTGGATGCGTATTATCATTTAGAGTAAACGTGGCGCGAAAACGTCCCATAGTTAATCGAATTAATTGCTCTGATGGACGATTATGTTGACCGTAAAATGAACGTAATGCGCGATACGTATTTCGAACAGAACCATGATTTTCAAAATAAATTTGCACAATTTGGAAGCGTTATTCAGGCGTCTAGTCTATTCATGTTGAAATGCCAAACCAAACTAAACATAAATCACTTGACAGCTGACAAAATGGCCGCCAGTTAAAAAGTGTTGCCAACTTAAAGTTCTATACCTCTAAAAAAACACCCATTATTTGGACAAATTTTGAAAATGCTTGGATTTCGTTGTTGTTATCGGGAGAAATAAATATTTAAAAAATAAAGTTTATTTTCTTGAGGAGACCACAAAAAGTACCTTAAAAAAACTAATTTAAGTGTACTTAATTTTTTGGTTGCCACGTGTATTTGGCATTGGACTCTACAAACCCACCAATTTGGATCCTTTAGTAGTATTAAGAAAAGATTTAAAATTCAAACAATTTATTTCTAATTTCAGTCTAATTAGTAACTCAGTTGTTGTCAAAGCCCATACGTTAACTTTCCGAGAAGCTGTTTGTCTTGAGATTTTGAGTTTTGTCGGGAGTCTGGAGATCATTCGAAATATCGGGAAAATCCAGAATAATCCCGACCATTTGGCAACCCTAGCCTCGCCACAGTGCACTCGATATACTCGCACTCGCAATTATATTGCCGCTCCTCATTTCAAGTCTATGATATTTAGATTAAACGTTTTTCGATGAATTGCTCTAACAGCCAGTAGTATGCACTGCGTACAGATGAGGTGGACCATTGCGAAAAAAGTGACATGTCCCCCATTACGTGCATATTTTAGGCCACCGTGTAGTGACGATGTAAGAGTATCCACTAACTCATCTTGTCCCGCAAGGTAAACGAACCAGGAGATGAGCATTAGCGTCTTCCTAATAACAGTTAAAAAAATTAAAAAATGCTTGCCAACCTGCTTGCTTTTAGCGTGGCAATTATGGCATACTTATATAACCTTATGAGAAATCTACGGGGGAGTTATATGTTCAGGAGTAGACTTTTGATAGGCTATAGCGGTAACGGTGAAATAACGGCTCCATGGCGCGGTGGCTTAGTAATGAGTGGCTGCGCTGGGGGCCGCGGGTTCGAATCTCGCACGGAACAAGTATTCGTATGGCCTACAAATAATTGTTCCGGGTGTGGATGTTTGTCCTTGTGCAATTTATGTTTGTAAACTGCCTCCACGATAGAGGAGAAAATCCTAGTGTGGGGGTAACGTTCAAAAAATAATTGCTTATTGTTATATCTAATCCAAAAATATCTCTATATATTTCGGAACAGTAATCTGCTGTTTAGTGTTAGTAATATGCAGAGCTTTCGTCTTATCGCGCATGGTACTAAACTGATTCACTGGCGTAAACACGAAGCAGTTGCAGAGAAAATATCGCTCTATAGTCGAAACAGCTTTCAAAGAAATTGTAGGCGTGTGAAACGGTGAGAGATGCCTTTGCGCGAGCTTACAATAACCAACCCGTTTTTACAATTTAAACCTGCTCTTGTTTTATCAATAAAGACTTTTTCATAACATATCGTGAGCGTTACATTTATAAGGTTATAAAATCATTGCCGTAATAAGGCCATGAGGCCGACTGTCGTCAGATCAGCCCATAGTAACTATCGTTCAATTCAATATAATTATAAAACTTATCAACGCTGTTTACGAACATCACTAATGTGCGCCTGTCTTAGGTCTTTGCGAATTGACATGTTTGGCTTTTAGCCATAGCGTGTTTTAGATATTATCAGTGCGCACGTGAAAAAATAAATTTGTTATTTCGATATTTTTCTGGCTTAAAAAAAATCTTTGCACTTTTTTGCCTAAGAGCCAACCTATACGGGTCCAGTAAAACCAGAGTGACCAACATAGCCCAACGGATTAGTGAGCTGAAGTGGCAATGGGCCGGCCATATAGCTCGAAGAACCGATAACCGACGGGGAAGAAAGGTTCTCGAGTGGCAGCCTCGTACTGGTAGGCGTAGTGTAGGGCGACCCCCCACTAGATGGAGTGACGACCTGGTAAAACATGCAGGAAGTCGATGGATGCAGGCGGCTCAGGACCGTGCTTTGTGGCATTACTTGGAGGAGGCCTATGTTCAGCAGTGGACTTGTGAAGGGCTATAATGATGATGATGATGATACGGACCCTTTCATCTATATCTGTTGGCAGTCAGTAGTAGAATGAATAATGCGTTTCTGTTTTAACCATTTTAATTACAGGTTATGTAATATTTTATCTTAGTCCTCTCTTGAGGGTGACAACGCGTCTATGGCGTTCTTAGTTGGCGTTCATCTCTGAAATTCGTTACAGGTGACTTTGGGCTTGACTTACAGCCCATTTGCCACTCTTATATTATAAACTTTTTCGATAGTGTATTTCATGGGATAGTTACTTTGTAACTTGCACGAATTGACCTATTTGCTCCATAATTTTCTACCATCGGCATGAGAATGGCTTAGATCTGGTTACTCGGTACAACTGACATATACGGTTATCGTATGTACGCTAATAGATAAGAAATTAACGTTCTCGTCGATTGTCACGAGAGACGTGCGTGAAGCGGATTTGCACTCGACCTTATTGGCGTGGTCAAAATTTTCTGCAGGTTAGCGACATTCAAACAACAATGGTGCCGGCTACGTGTTTTTAAAATGTTTTTACAAACTCTACATTGGATATTTGATTGTAAGAATAATCTAATGTTATATGTATCGAATAATAAATATATTTAGCTTTTATATTTAATTGACAACAAACTAGTCGAAACCGGCAGACGTTCTCCTGTCAGTTAATGTCATAGGTTGTGTTCAGCCATAGAATACGAGGGCGGCACTGTAAATTTCGGGAATCAAGGAAGTGACACAACATTACTATTTAAAAATGTATTTATTGCTTTTTGAAGTATTCTCTGCGAAATTTGACACATTTTTCCATACGATGGAACCAATCATTGAAACAACCATTCCATTCGGAAGTTGGGGTCTCCAAAATGGCCGTTTTGTAGGCGTCCACAGCTTCTTCAAGTGATGAAAATCTCTGTCCACGCAATTTATTCTTTATTTTAGGGAAAGTATAGAAATCATTAGGGCTTAGGTCGGGGCTGTACGGCGGATGGTCTAATAATTCTATGTTTTCTTGCTCTAAAAACTCTTTTGTTCTGTGTGCGGTGTGAGAACTCGCATTGTCGTGATGGAGGATGATGCGGCGGTTGCAGTTCTCTTTACGGAGTTCAGAAACGACCTGTGGCAAACAAATGCTAGCATACCATTCTGCATTAACCGTTCTTTGTCCCTCGAGAGGAATAGTCGTAACATGGCCGGTTTTGGAGTCAAACGTTGGCCACGTTTGAGGACATTTTTTTTGCAACACTCCGTGAACGAACAATTTTTGTTGGCTTTAACTCATTTTCGAACACCCAAACTCGTGACTGGTTTTTTTGTTTCGGGTTCGTACGCGTATATCCAGGATTCGTCACCTGATACGATGTTGTATACAGCATTTGAGGATCCTGCGTGGAATCTTTCGAGAGTTCTGACGCACCAAGTAACGCGAGTCGCTTTTTGCTCTTCACAGAGTGAATGCGGTATCCATCGGGAAAACAATTTTTTTACACCTAATTGTTCATGCAAGATTATTTGTATTTGACTTATGCCAATGTCTAAAATTGCCTGAATTTCGCGGTATGTCACATGTCGATCTTCCTCAATCAGCTTACGCACAGCATCAACGTTTTCTTAGGTGACTGCAGTTTTTGGACGACCTTGATGGGGATCATCACTGAGCTTGACACGTCCAAATGTTGAAATTCAGTAAACCAGCGATAAATTGTGGTTTTGGATGGGGCTTCATCACCAAATGCAGAAATCATCCGGTCAACACACTGTTTTTGTGTTAAACCACCTCGAAAATCATAATAAATCATCGCTCTTGAATTTTCTCGAGTCAATTCCGTTTTCTCAACGACTAAAAAGTTTGACAAAACCTTGTGACAAGACCGAGAATCCTTTTTTTAAATAAATAAATGGTATTAAATTTTTAAAATCAAGGAGTTTTCGATTAAAAAGATTTTAATATGACAGGAACAGTGGAAATATTCCATTCCCGATACTTTTAGTGCGGCCCTCGTACTATAATACATACATAATAGAACGGGGGAGTGGGCGGAGCCCGTGTAGCCACTAAAATGTCACTAACACGTCAATTCACACGTATAAATGTCAACACGAGATGTGTTTTGACGTTACAATCGTTTCCAAATTTCCCATGCAAATTATTTAGAAAATGCCAAATTGCACGCTATTTACAAATAGCAATCCGTCTGTCAACACAGCGAATCGGGTTTGTAGTAGTGATTAACTGATAATACGACGTAATTGCTTGTATGTGTGCTCCCGGCGACGCCTATCCTCGTACAAAATAACAGCCATTCTATTGTGTATTAAAGTATTCTATGTGTTCAGCAACCTTTATTTTAGTGCTTGCAATTTAATTTATGAATTACCGCGCTTGATTGAAAAAAGCAAATAAAATCAACAATTTTAAATTTGTTTGTTTTTAATTTTTTTATATATACCCATTTTCATGGTGATCGTTCAAATAGATTTCGATTTCATGTATACAGACATCCTCTTTTATGTGTAGAGATAATCAACGAAACATTATTTTTAATATTGTTTACAATTTTGTTTATCGCTACCAGAGCAGAGGTTGCCCATTTGCGTCAATGCGTTTAATAGCAGTACGCTATCTTTGGTATATAGAACACTAAGGTGATCCATTGATATTGACTTTACCTTTCAGACACATTGTTCAAACTGAGGGTCCTCGTGCACTATTCAAGGGTCTAGGGCCGAACTTGATTGGGGTGGCTCCATCTAGGGCGATATACTTCTGCACATACTCTCAAGCGAAGGCGATTTTAAATCAGCATATACCACCAGACACACCTGTTGTACATCTTTCCGCAGCCAGCGCTGCAGGTATCTAATTAATATATATTTTTTTTTTAAATAATAAGAGAACAAATGACAATTTGAAACTTAGTTTATTGCGTATATCAAACACCATTATTGAATTTATAATAAAATATTCTTCGATGTTTCAGGATTCGTTTCGTGTACAATGACAAATCCAATTTGGTTCGTAAAGACGCGGCTACAGTTGGACGGACAGAACATAACGGCATTGCAGTGTATTAAGAGGATATACGCCAAAACGGTACGATGACTGTAAACAAACAGATAACGCTCTTCATAAACATGAATGTATTTAAATTTAGAAAATGTAGGTGCTTAAGAAATTTTATCAATCACGTTTATCATACATATCGTACGTACGTACGTATTAAATGCTAGCGATACGCCCCGGCTCCGCCTCAATTATCGAAGACCGTTTATTTTATTAATTTTTCGTTATAATAAGAAAAACACTATCTACCTATCTGTTTGTGAACTTTCAATATAATCGGTTCAGAAATTTCGAAGATTACAACAAAAAAAAATTATTCACGTTTTAGGTAATGGCGAGCTAAAAAGGCATCGACTCAATGTAGGGCAGTTATTTTGATATCACAGATAGACACTTCAATTGTTTTATATGTATTCAACGTGTAACAAAAACCCTGTGGTTCCCGGTTAAGTGCGTTATCAGAAACCGGGCACGTTCCAGCCTGCAGATATTAAAATTTCAAAATTAAAAAAATCTCATTTTATAGATCTCAATTAGCCCTTTCGACCTACGTTAATTAATTTATAAGCCCGTTTATCGTTTTCCCAAGAAAAATAGAAATATAATTTTCAATTTTCCTCTGCTTAAAATAGCCATATCTCTTTGAAAAATGATTATTTTTTACTCTACCAAGAAAAAATTGCCCTTGCGCTAATTTAATTTGCCCGCGTGCTAATTCTTAAAAATATTCAATAATTATTATTGTAAACAATAAAAAACCGTCGTGACATTCCCAAGCCAATTATTTGCGCATACGCTTGAATACCGATTCTGATAACGCACTTAACGGGAACCACAGGGTTTTTGTTACATGTTGTATATAAGTAAATATTAATATACTTTGTAAAAATGGTTAATCGCAGTAAGCAAATATAAAGGGATCTTTTAAAATATGTAGACTTTAAAGACCTAAAATATGAAATCAATGGAATAGTTTTTTTTTTAAAGTTTTATAACGTGCTTCGTTATTTTGAAACGTCAAAACGAATACGTACGCAACATTTGTAAATGCGATGCTATGCAAAAGCGAGCAAAAAAATGTATGTCGCAACTTGTTGTTCCACCTATTTCTAGCTCACGATGTTTGTTATTTCATATTATTTTGCGACGTACTTTTATGTGCTGCCATAGAATGTAACTAAGATCGACCAAGTATTAATTACGTTCCAATTATTACTATTACACTGAGGCTTAAAGTATGATTATGTAATAGAAACTGCTTCTGGAGTTATTAAACAATATATTTGACTAAATAAGCCATGCGACTATAGCGGGAAAGTCACCGAAGCCGGCCTACCGACCGAACCGAAGCTACTCATGTGACCGAAGGCCGTTTGAGTATTTTTTCATCTTAATTCAATTTTTAATTACTTCACTTAGATCTCATAATTATTATACACATATATTGAACGGTATTTTTATGTATAATTTATATACTAACATGCATATTTATTATTGTGTTTGTATGGATGGACTAACAGTGCCTGAAATAATATTTGATTTTAATGTGGAAACCGAAATCAAAAATTAAAGTCAATTCTTGGATTACCTTTGAGAACAAAATACAAAAAGCCTTATATAAGATACGGGTTATTGCACTTATAAAACATTGACTGTTGGCCGTGAGAATGAGACACGCGATTACTTCTAGTTTCACAGAGCATGCAGTAACCTTGTATTGACATCATACAAAGTATAGTATACTATGAATTGCAGTTTAAAAATCGTTAATTTTATTCTGACCCGTGAATAAATACGAGTCAGAATAGAATAAAAGATTATTAAATAAGAATTTTAAATTTATAAGATAAACGCATTTTGAATTTAACAGATAAAAGGGACAGAATGTGTGAGATTTTTTTAGATTAACTTTTCTTCACCATTTGCCTATACATATTACTTATTCTGAACCTTCTCTGGAAATTTGGCCGGTTATTGCAAAATAACCCTGCATATAAAAAACAAATATTTTGAGAATGATAATATTATAATTGTGACACACAGTTTGATTCAATTCGAATACATCTGGGTCATGTTAGCTTGGGGAAGTGCTTGCAGCTTTTAAATATATCCTGCCGCATGTTTTACCTTTTAGTATTTATTGGTAGTACATGTCGACACCTGCAAGGAAAATCATCGTAAGTCACTTTTTAGCGATTTTGAGTTACGATCATATTCTCAGTAAATAAAAAATTCTCTTTCATTTGCGCTCACCCCTGTATCTAAATTCATTCGCGTTACGATTTTGGCTAGTAGAAAAATGTTGTAAGTCAGTGTCCACTGAAGGTAATAAAAAGGTATATTTAGTTACACATACTTACTTACGCCTGACATTAATTTATTACATAACAATAATTGCAATACAAGATACTCTCTTGTTCTTGGCAATTATATTTTCGTAATAAAAAAGCTTTCATCGTAAAATTGCTTACGATGTTTCAATCTTTAAACAGAAAATAAAAATATCAGTCCAAAGACTGTAACATAAGTTACAGTTATTTTCTCTGCAATAATTTTCGGGTTGTGTTTGTTTAACGATAGGTTATTAAACTTACGATGCATAGATTCTTGATCGCTTCCTCACCTCGCACGTGTTATTGATGTTGTGTACAAGTTACGACGTATTTTTTGCCGGAACTTGCATACAATATTGGATGGTTTTAATATGAAAACAGTTAAAAAATGAGTCACCGCAGTAAGATAATTGCGTTAGCTTTAGCTAAAAGTAAAATTACGGACAGTAACGCAGGTTAGTAAATGATCATTATTTTTAAATATTTACATATCATCCACTTATTGTTATAACATCTTATTTGCAATTTAGAATAAGCACAGTTCACATGAATATTATGATTGACCTCATAAATATCTACATGCAGTAATTTTGAGGTATTTCAAAAATTTCAAAATCTTTATTTCACAACACAATGGTTTGTAACTGTAAACAGAGGTTGGGACCATCCTATTAAGTAATAATAATACTTGTGCCAGGTATATTATTAGTTTATGTACAAACTGCAATAGACGATTTTTTAGGAAGACGAACATGTGAACAATCGAACGTCAACGTCAACCTCAACGTCATTACGTTGAGAATAATGTACCACTGGAAAGGAGGATGTCACCAAATTTTGTCAAGACAGGTACGTATATAATGAAGTCCATTAAAATTACGTATGAACCTGGACTTGAAGTATGTTAGGTTTGTGTTAATTGCGTTCTACATGATTGATGCAATAGAACCTGGAATACGAAACTCTAAAGAACAAAGTAATAGGGAATGGAAGTCAAACTAATGCAGAAGAGCCTAGAATTTCATCACACATTAATGCTAAAGAAAAAAAGAAATATCCGAAGAAAGTTAAACCAGGAAGGAAGAGATTTTTGAATAAAGAAAATTGGAAGGCTGAAATATGTAAACGAAAGAAAAATTTGGGCGAGTAGTTTATAAATAGAAAAGGGCAGTTAATAGCGAAACAAATTATGAAACCAGACTGTGGTGCTAATTGTTCACGTAAATGTCGAGAAGCAATCACAGAAAACCAGAGAAGTTTAATACTTAAAAACTTCTGGGAACTGGTGGATACATAATAAACAAATGGATTATATTAGCCGATTTGTTAGAAGAGTCCCAAAAAAACAAGTTATTGCCGCCTCGGTCTCATCCAGTAGGCGCAAGTGGTCTTTTGAATACAATTTGTTTATAGAAGGTCAAGAAATACGAACCTGTAAGACGATGTTTTTAAACACCCTCTCTATAAGCGACATGTGGTTGCAGACTTTATTTAAAAAAATTGATAAGTGCTACAGGTACTATAATAAACGATAAAAGAGGTATACACGGCACGCGCAAAAATGCCGTTCCAGATCAAGTCAAACAATCTGTTAGAGATCATATTTCACAAATGCCATTAGTAAACTCACACTATGTGAGAAACAGAACATCTAAACAGTATCTGGATGAACAACTGAACTTTCCAATACTCTACAAACTTTATTTGGAATGGATGAATGAAAAACATTCCGATCAGGTCGTTGCGACTTCAAGACAGTATAGGGAGATATTTAAGACAGATTTTAATATAGACTTTAACAAACCAAGAATAAACCAATGTCCAAGGTGTGATTTATTTAAAAATTCAACTGAGACTGACAAAACTAAGCTAGAGTATGAGTACGCTTTACATATTGCAAACAAAAATGTGGTCAGGTCTTTAAAAGATAGTGACAAACATCGAGCTAAACACTCTGATTCTGTTGTAACAGCTTGTTATGGTTTACAAAAAATTTTGAATACTCCTCATTCAGAAGTATCCGTATTTTACTACAAAAGAAAACTTGCTACATATAACTTCACGATCTATGATATGGGTAAACATAAAGGGTATTGCTACTTGTGGGACGAGACGATCGGACGCAAAGGATCTAACGAAATAAGTAGTTTTGTATTCGACTTCATAAAAACTAGGGTTCAGGAAGGATACAAGGAGTTTAATTTTTATTCTGATAGCTGTGGCGGTCAGAATAAAAATAGGACAGTATTCGCAATGTATGCATATGCTAGCAGAATATTTAATATAAATATAAATCATTACTTCTTTGAAGTTGGACATTCACAATCAGAGGGTAATGCGATGTATGCACTTATTGAGCGAAGGAAAAAAACATAAAATTATCTACGTACCTCAGCAATGGGTGACTTTGATAAGATGCGCTAAATCTAGTGGTGAGCCGTATGAAGTCAAGGAAGTAAACCAAGATAATATATTGGATTTTAAACAACTTTTGTCATGTTACAAAAATTGCGAACACGACGTTAACCATGTGAAAGTCTCCTGGAGTAAAATTATGCATATTCATTTTATCAGTAGCTTACCTAATATAATTAAATTTCAATATGATTATCTGAGCGACAATGAAATGGCTATAAATCTAGCTCAAGATATTAAGACAGTTTCTCTTCAGGCAGTTACTCGTCGCGCTACCAAGGA